AAATTTTTTTCCGCTATGAATTCGTTATAAGGATACATTTTTTAAAAAAAAAAACACGTCGCGATTAAAAAAAGATTAACAATAATAATAATAATAATAATAATAATAATAATATAATCACACGTAATAAAAGTAAATAAAAGTAAAAAATTGATGACGTAATAAACAAAATGGGGGGGGGGTTGATGTTAGAATATGCACACGACGAACGAAAATTTTATTTATTTATTTATTTTATTTTATTTTTAATCCATCGCAACGTTATTTAAATTAATAAAATATAATTTTTAAAATCATATGGAATTAATTTTAAAATCTCGTAATTTATTTTTTTATAATAAATTCAATTTATATTTATGCACTTATAAGAGAGAAAAGGTCGGGGGTGGTGGTGGTGGTGGTGGTGGGTGTAGGGCGGGAACGGGGGGCGAGGTAACGGGGAGTACGTGAATAAACGACAAACACTTAAAATGTCAACTTCCGTACTTGCTTACTTACTTACTTAATTAATTTTTTGACGAAGTGAAATTTAAATTTTTTGAAATTTTCCCCTCTCCTCCCCCCGCCCCGCCCCCCTCCTCCCGTAGCAGACGAATTTTTACTTAAATTTTTTAATGAATTATATAAAAATGGAAAAAATTTCATTGTTATTAAATTTTTCGAGAGGTTAAACGTATCGTTAATAATAATAATAATTTTTTTGTATCATTCGCGATTTTTTACTACTTCTACAATTATTATTATTATTATTATTATTATTATTATTATTATTATTATTATTAAAATTTTCTTTATTAAAATATAATAATAATAATTATTTTCCTGGTTTTTTTTTAAACAATAAATATTAAAAAAAAACACTCGAAAATTATTTTATTTTATTATTATTATTATTATTATTATTAAATCGTTAGGAAATTAAATTATTATTAATATTATTATTATTATATTATTATTATTATTATTATTATTATTATTTTTTCATTATGTCGTTTTCTGCGTGTGCGTGTGCGTATGGTAACAACCACGTTTAATTATTATTATTATTATTATATCTTCTATTTTTTTTTTTTTTTTTTTTTTATCGGTCGTGTTAATGAAAATTTATATTATTTACAAAACAAAATGGCGGTTAATTATTTTAATTTAATTCTTTCTTTTTAGTCGTAAAATAAAAATTTTTTTTCTATTTTAAAAATCATTGACGTAAAGGAAAAACAAAAGCTGGAACCATTTGTTAATTTTTTTTAAAAAATTGTTTTTGTTATTGGAAACATAACATACAACATACTCTCTCTCTCTTTCTCTCTCTCTCTCTCCCTTTTCTTAAATAAACATATAAAAATTTGTGGTTCCTTTTCTCCCTCCTCCTCCTTCTCCTCCTCCTTCTACATCTTTTCTCTCTATTTTATTATTAATTTTTTGTTGTTGTTAATGAATATCGAATGACAAAAAAAATAAAATTCTAAATTTAAATTATTATTATTATTATTAAGTTTTGTGTGTGTGTGTGTGTCGTCGTCGTACGAATTATAATAATAATATTAATTTATTAAAAAATTTAATAACGAACAGTTTTCGCTTTCATTATGTGAATTTACACGGGGGTGGGGTGGTAGGGGGCGGGGAAACAAACTCTAACATAACCTTTCTAATATAAGTTTTAATTTAATTATTTATTTTTTTATTTAGTCAGGTAAATAGAGAGAAAGAGAGAGAGTGAGAGAGAGAAACTAAACAAAATTTTATATAATCATAATGCGAAAGAGAGAGAGACAGAGAGAGAGAGAGAGGGAGGGGGGAAAAGTTTTATTATTATTTACATTTTGGTTTTATATCTGGGAAATTAATAATGAAAAAAAAAAATTGTTTACGGGTTACGTATTGTTACGCGCACTTTCCCCCCTTTTCCCCTTTTTTTTCTAATTAATTATTAACTTCAAATTTTCCCTTAAAAAAATTATTATTATTATTATTATTATTTAATCTCATTTTAAAAAAAAATTTTTTTATCGTTTTCAGGTTTTCGTATTTGATTTACGATTTAAAATTTATTCGGTTTGTGATTTTCTTTTCTTAACATATCTTTTAACGATTAACTTTTAAAATCTTTTCAATTATTTTGTTAAAAAGAAAACCGGTTTTAAAAATCGCCATTTTGTTAAAAAATAAAAGAGAAAAAAAAAAGGATAGAAATTTCAATAGTTTTGAAAAGAAGATTATGTAAAGGGGAAGAGGAGGGAGAGAGGGGAAAGGAGGGAGGGAATTCATAAGATTAAAATGAATAAGAATAAGAAAAAAGAAAAAAAAAATTATTATTCAAATCCTAATACTTAATAATTCTTTTATCCTCTTTAAATCCCTCCTCCTCCCCCCCCCCGTGTGGTAAAACCTTGATCTATGCTCACCCACGTAAATGATATACCTTTGAGTGTAATGACTGATGACCCTCCCCCCCCCCCCCGAGACAAAGGAATTCAATGACATAATTATCACACCCTTTTCGAACCTTTTTTCTTTTCTTAAAAACACGTTTCGTAAATATGTAATATCATTATTATTATTATTATTAGTGAGACTTGCAATTTGCAAGGGGAAATGATTAAACATGGGGATCATAAATGGGAAATTTATGAAGTCTAAGATTACCCGTAAATGAATTTTTGTTGTCATCAGTAGTAGTGAGAGATGCGGGGGAGGGGAGGGGGTGGGGAGGTATGGGGAGGGGGAAGAAAACGAGTTTTTTTTTTATTTTTATTCTGGTTCAGGTATTTTATTATCCTTTTTTTATGGTCGAAACAATATTACTTTTTAGTAGCTTCCTATTATCGATAAGAAAAAAAATTCTAGCCTGTTATAGTACGTGTGTGTGTTACCTACCACCGATTCAATTTAAATTAAAATGTAAAAATTATTATTATTATTATTATAACTTAATGTTTTTTTTAAATGTTTATAAAAAAATAATAATAATAATAATGATTTTTTTAACGGTAGCTTCCGGTAGGTTATTAAAAAAATTTTTTTTAAATTTACCCTCCCCCCCAAAAAAAAAAACAAAAAAATTTTTTGATTAAAAATCTCATATATTCGCTAAGGATTAAGAAAAAGGAAGTATTTAAAAAAAAGGTTTTCGAAAGGTTATGGTGAAAGAGAAAGTTATTATTATTATTATTACGTTGTAATTAAAAGTTTATTTATTAATTTCTATCTCTCTCTCTCTCTCTCTCTCTCTCTCTCTCTACACTGGCCCCTCAATCTCTATTGAATACGCATCGTATATATTTATAATATTATTATTAATATTTTAACGAATTATTATTATTATTATTATTATTATTATTATTATTATTATTATTATTATTATTATTATGTTTTTATGAATGAAAGTTTCGAAACAAAATCGCTTTACTACCTATTGTTAAAACTATCTACGATTAATAATAATAATAATTTTTCTAATGGGTAAAAAAAAAAAGAAAATTTTACTATTGTTGTTGTTTGTTTGTTGTTTGTTTGTTGTTTGTTTGTTACCTCAAAGAAACCCGTTTTTATTATTATTATTATTGCAACGATTCCGCCCTTAAAGGACGTGGGGGGAAGGTACAACTAATTAAGGTTAGATGGAAAAAAGGAAAAATTATCTATCAGACAATAAAATTACCCTCATATTAAAAAATCTTTTCTCCCCCCCGCCCCCCGCCCCGACGTCTTTCATTTTAAATTCATCCATCGAGTTAAACATAATTTCGTTATTATTATTATTATTAATAAAATCCGACAGGGAAAATTTTTTTTTATGTCGTAAGGGAGGTTTATTATATTAATCATCGGAGTCGTTTTATATATATATATATCGATTTATTATTATTATTATTTATTTATTTTTAGAATGGCTACCTGGAAGATGTAAATTTGGTCTCTGCGGAGAAGATGCTGCTTGCGTTCCCGGACCTAATTTAACGCATAAATGCGTTTGTCCGAGCGATTTATCGCCGCCAACGTCGGATAATAAACTGTGTCTAACGCGGAAAACAGGTAATTAATCAATCAATCAATCAATCAATCATTCATTTCGCTTATTTATTCAAAAAGAAATTAATTTAGTTTTTCGTTATGATTTTCCACGATTTTTCCCACGTTTTATGGTCGTGTAAATCAGTTATTTAATCATGGCAATTTTTAAGTATTTTCCATAATTTTCCAATATTTTCCCAACCGATTCCTTAGGGATATTTCCTTAGGGAAGAAAAAATGTTTAAAAATTCACATATTGTGTGGTAGGTTATTTAAAAAAAAAATTTTCGAGAAAAATCCGAACCGTCCCAGGGTTTCCCATTTACCATTTCTTATTTTAAATTTTTTTTTTTCAACGTACAATGACTCCCGATTATGACTCCCACGCTGACCGAAAATTATTTTTTCCCCCTCATTACGACAATTTTCCCCCGTTTTTATGACGTCATTTTTTAATTATTATTATTATTATTTTTTAGCCTTTAATTTTTACTACGATTTTTCCCGTTTAAGGGAAATAAATATTTTTTTTTTTTTTTTACTCTCATCAGGTACGATTTCAAATTATTATTATTATTATTAATTATTATTATTATTATTATTATTATTATTATTATTATTATTTTAATTAATTATTAATTGCGAAATTAAATTAATAATTTAAAACGCGTAAATAATTTTTTTTTTTTTTTGGCATGCATGCATGCATTCGTTAAATTGCGTTAAATTTACGCATATTGACTTTTCTTTTGATCTTATTACGGAAATGTAAACTTAATAATAATGGTAATAATGATACTAATAATAATAATAATGATAATAATAATAATAATAATGATAATGATAATGATAATGATAACGGGGGGTTTTAATAATTTTTTAATAATAATAATAATCCTACGAAAAAAATAAATAAATAAATAAAATTTCTTTGATGCTAATTTATAATTCCGTTTGCACACACACGCACATTTAAAAAAAAAATGGCCGCCATGAAGAGTCAGCGAATGGGAAAAGGGAAAAATGGAAAATTTTTTTTTTTTTTTCCTTTTATTTATTTATTTATCTTACTCGGTGCTGAGAGTTTAGCAAAAAAAAAAAAAAAAAATTACAGCTTAGCGAAAAAAACAAAACGAAAAACAAAGGAAAAAAACATTAAAAGGTTTTTTTATATTCAATTACGAACTGTACGGTTGAAAACAAAAAAAAAAAAAAAAAAAAATTTTCCTTTGAAAACCATTGAAAAAAAAAACAAAATGAAAAGCAATAAAAAAATTAAAAAAAAAAATTAATTATTGCTCGCGGTAACATTATCATTATTATTACCGAATGTATTTTTGAAATTAGCAGCAACGGCGACAACGACAACAACAACAACCAAATCAATAATTTTTTTGTAAAAGACATAAAAAACGTTTACAATTTTTCCATTAATCCGTAACTGTTGACCTTTGAACTCTGCTTTTGAAAAGGTTCACTGATATACGGTCCAGAAAAAAAAAAAAAAAAAAAAAAAGAAAAAATAATCGGATTTATCGACAGATAAAATTCAACTTTAACTTTATCCCCACATTTTAACGACAGGTTTCCCCCACTTTTTTTTTGGAGGAATGAAAAACATTTCCCCGTCCCGCCCCCCACATCTCAACTTTTAATCCTCTCGTGTTGAAAAAAAAAAAAATTTTTTTTTTACGTGATTCAATATTTAAAAACAAATAAATACCTACTAACGGTAGTATCATTATCATTTAGTGAAATTTTTTTGTTATTTTCAGTTCCCCTCACGCCTAGACCGATACTAAATATAAACATAAGCGGTGGTAATATTTCACCGAATGGTAATCGATCGAATACAACATTAGAACAAGTAAGTAAATTTTCACCTCTCTTCCCTTTCCTACAAAGGAAAAAAGGAAATTTTTTTTTTTAATTTTTCCAGGGTGGTACGAATAACGTGACGACCGTTGAAAATGACACTTACGATAACCAATACGATGATGGATTTATTATAGGTTTGTTAAGTTTTATCATGTTATTCGCCGGACTCATCGGTGGGATTTACTGGTGGAAAAGAAAATATTTTTCCAAATGTCCAGTAAAAGTCAAAGGACAAAGGAAAACGGAAAATGACGTAAGAATTATTTTTTTTTATATACCATTATTTTCCGGAAACGACAAACAACAAACGAATCGGTAATAAAACAGTATTGCCAATATTTGAAAAAATAAATAAATAAATAAATAAATACGCGTGTTAATTAGTGACACGTCTTTTTGACGTCATCGTCGTCATCGTCTCGGATACCCGCCATGTTATTTTATGCGAATCCCCATAGAGATAAAATGGTTTTCTGGATGGTTTAACAGGATTCGGGAATTTTTTTTTTTTTTTTTTTTTGTAGGGATTTTAACGATTCGAAAAGTTGATTTGATGATGATGGTGGTCTGGAATTTTTTTTTTTTCAAGCCTAATTTTCCATGAATTGTTCTTTAAAAAAAAAAAAAATTATTCTTATTGTAATGTGACGATATATAATTTATTTTTTCATCATTATTATCATTATTCGTGTTTATTGTGAAGGAATAATAATCGTTTATAAACCCACCCACCCACAAAATAATTTTTTTTTTTAGACGACGACGACGACGAGGACGTCGACGACGACGCCGCCACCGCCGATTTGTTTAAGCAAAGGACTTTTGGGAAATTACGTACCTAATCCACAATACATGGGTGATGACGTATTACCCGTACCTGTTTTATCAAGGGACACATTAATATTCGTACAGGAAATTGGAGAAGGATGTTTTGGAAAAGTATTCAAGGGTAAATATCTCTTTCCCCTCATTTTTATTATTATTATTATTATTATTATTATTTCTTTTGTGAAACTAAAAACGATTGGATATAATTTTAATTACTTAACGTTAAAAACGAACGAGTAGTTTAAAAAGGGGGGACCAAATGGGGTCCATCAAATTTGATATTTAACATCCTTGTTATTGTTGGCCACGATTTTAAAATTCGAAAAAAAAAAAGATTTAAGATGGCGAATTCGACGTTTCGAATATCACAAAAAAAAAAAAAATTTCGTTATTATTATTATTATTATTATTATTATTATTATTATTATTATTTTTTCGATTTCGAAAAATATTTTAAACGATTTTTCTCGAAAAAAATTTTTTTTCCGTAATAAAAAATAATTAAAAAAATTATTGTGGGACGACAGTAAAAAAAAAAAAAAAAAAAAAAAAAAAAACGACAAATTATTATTATTATTATTATTATTATTATTATTATTTTTCCCCCATTTTTAAATTCGTTTTTTTTTTTTTTAAATAATAATAATAATAATAAATTTCTAATTTAATCTCGGAAGGGTCGTTAAACTTATTGTTGTTGTTGTTGTTGTTGTTATTGATACTAAGAAATGTTTACTTGTATTTTCTACGAAGCAGACGATATTCGAATTATTATTATTATTATTATTATTTTTGATTTAATGTTATAATGGAAGACGTTTAAATAAGAAAAAAATTATAAAAAAAAAAAAAAAAAAAAAAAAAAAATGTCGTCTTTCGGGACGTAACATTCGGTCAAAAATATTATTATTATTATTATTAGTTGTATTCATTTATTAAGTAGGAGGTTAAAACCCTTCGTATCGAAAGATTAATAAAAAAGGGGAATTTGTGATGGGAAAACTTAAGCGAAAATTTATTATTAGGGGAACGACCTAAATAATAATACTAATAATAATAATACTTTTTTTAAATTGCATATGAAATGAAAAAAAGGGGAAAGGGGAGGGGCGATGGGTAGAGGGGGAATGATACGTAGGAGAAGAAGGTAAGACAAAATGAAAAAAAAAAAAAAAAAAGTTAAGAAATTAAAAAGAAAGAAGAAAAAGAAATGAAAATTTTCATTGGATTAATTTTAATATACGTATTTACCGTAATCTTTAATCAATCGTTAATTTTTTTCTTTTTAGCAAACGAAATTAAATTGAATTTTAAAAAAAACAAAAAACAAAGAATAAAGCTCTAGAAAATTTTCCTTCTTTACCTTTCTCTCTCTCTCTCTTTCTTTCTCTCTTTCTTTCTCTCTTTCTCTCTCTTGCTTGTACCCATCATTCCCTCTCCCTTGTTTGTATCCATAAATCTCTCTCTCTTGCTTGCACACATCATTTTCTCCCAATCTCTCTCTTGCTAGTACCCACATTCCCTCTCTCTCTCTAGCTTGTATTCATCAATATCTCTCTCTCTTGCTTTCACACATCATTCTCTCTCTCTCTCTCTTTTGCATTCATCCATCTTTTTTTCTTTTTTTTTTTTTTAGAAATCAATCGATCGATCGATAACGCAAAATGAAAAATTCGAAAAAAACGAGGAAATTTCTTTTTAAAATATTAATAATAATAATATTAATAATAATAATAATAATAATAATAATAATAATAATAATAATAATAATAATAATAATAATAATAATAATAATAATAATAATAATTAATTGAAATCGTATCATTGTTTCGAAAAGTGTCAGACGACAACACATTTCACACACACTTTTTTTTTTTATTATTAAAAAATTACGTAATAAAATATTTATCTAATCTTATATTTAAAATTTATTAATAAAATATTTATTTTTATTATGTTATTAATAATAATAATAATAATTAATTATCGTCGAATGAATTATTTTACCACGTTTTACTTACGTCATAATGCTCGAGACAGAACAGACAAGTTTTTAATAAAATTATTTAAAAAATAAAATAATCTCTCAGAGATGATAAAATTAATAATTATTTAAATTTTAATTATTTTTATATGATAAGAGGTTGACGTTATCGTACGTACGTACCTGTAACCATTCATTCCGGATTTCATCGGGTTTCCCCGCCCCCCCCACCCCCGTTAGAGGCAAAAAAAATTTTTACGGTTATCATTTCTTTTTTTTTTTTTTTTTTAAAAGGCGTATTAAAAAAAGAAAATGGAACGTCGGATGTCGTGGCAATAAAAGTTCTTAAAGAAACGGCATCGAGACAAGCAGAAGATGATTTTATGAGAGAAGTGGAAATAGTGAGCGCATTCAGACACGAAAATATTTTGTCACTTTTAGGAATCGTACTCAAAGGTAAATATTAAACCGAAAACATTCTCTGAATTGTTTACACTCGCAACATTCTTCTACGAATCGAAACGTAAAAAACGTGGAAATAGAAAAATTTCATTTATTTATTTTTTCCATAGAATCTACTTCCAGACCGTGGATGGTTTTTGAATTTATGCCGCACGGAGATTTAGCCGAAGTATTAAGAAGTAATAGCAGGCAATTTTGGAAACCTGTGCCTGGATTAAAATCATTGACAAAGGTAAATTCCTAAATAAAAGAATACAACAACAACAACAACCCGTTTCGAACCTAATTAATCATTTCTCCCCCCCCTTCCCCACACCCCGTCTCCGCGTTAAACAATTTTAATTAATTTAAATATAAATAAAATGTGTGTCGTAAATGTATTTTTTTCTCTTTTTTTTTATTAAATAGGAATCCTTAAGAGAAATCGAATTTTAAAAAAAATAATGATAATGATAATAATAATAACGACAAACGTGAATAAAGTGGGCAGACAAACACAAACAATAAAGTATTAGTTACATGATTTATGATTTAAAACCTAAATGGGTGTTCCTAGTTTTACCTTTTTTTTTTTAATGAATAACGGTCTTTTCATTTTCAAATTTTAATACTATTATTATTATTATTATTATTATTATTATTATTATTATTATTATGGTTATTATTAGTTATAACAAAGTACCAGACAGAAAAGAAAATTTATAAAAAAAAAAAAACATGCATTATTATTATCATAAATATATATATTAGCATATAAATTGTAAAAAAGAGAAAAAGAGAAAGAGAAAGAGAGAGAGAGAGAGAGAGAGAGAGAGAGAGGGAGATAGAAAATTTAATTTAATTTTATATTCCAGAATTCTTTATTAAAAATCGCATTACAAATAGCCGGAGGGATGAAATATTTAGCGGCACAAAGGTTCGTACATAACGATTTAGCCTGCAGAAATTGTTTGGTCGGATCCGAATTAACGGTTAAAATAGCGGATTTTGGAATGAGCAGAGATGTTTACACTTGCGATTATTACAGGTGAAATAACTACCACACGTCTATTATTATTATTATCATTCGACTCCCGTTCGTATTGATCGATCGATTTATTGATTTATTGATTTACAGAATCGGCGGTTCGAAACCGGTACCCCTACGTTGGATGTCACCCGAAAGCGTCATGTACCGTAGATTCACACTGGAATCGGATATATGGTCCTACGGTGTCGTTTTGTGGGAAATATACAGTTTGGGAAAGCAACCCTACTACGGATTGAACAACGAAGAAGTTGTTAAAATGATATTGCAAGGTATAATATTGCTACCACCGGAAAATTGCCCCCCTTTCATCTGTGATATTATGAAAGAATGTTGGAAAACCGAACCGAAAGATCGTATCATTTTCAACGATGTCTACGATCGTTTGAAAAAATCGTGGAAAGAAAGAGAAGGGGACGAACCACTTTTTCCAGGTACTAATAATAATAATAATAACGAGTCGAACGTTATTACGACAAGAGATTCTGGTAAAATATCATGTCCTAGACCTCCACTTTTTCCAGTCTCGCCATTAATTAATAATAATAATAATAATAATAATAATGAATGTAACGATATTTTGGATGCCGATAATTATTTGGCACCTCAAGCAACGCAAATAAATGAATACATTCATCCATTACCCGATTGAAAATGTTAATAAAAAAAAAAAAATTTACGTCAATTTCATTAATTCATGTTTTTATTCTAAGTGTAAGCCCCCTCCCTCCCTCCCCTCCCTTCCCCCATCCCTCCTTCTTTACGTTTTCAAAGACTGAATGATATACGTTTTAAAAATTTGTAATATAATTAATTATTATTATTTAAATAAAGAAAACTTACCTTTAAGAAAAAACTGCATCGCCATTTTGTTTTATTTCCTTTCCTTTACGTGTGTCGACATTAATAAAACGTTTTCGAATCTGAAAAAAAAATAAAAAAAAAGATTTTAACGGTTTTTTTTCTTTTATTTCCACGACACTTTTTTTGAAGTATTTAAATAATAATGATGATGATGATGATTGTATCGCGGATTATAATAAAAATAAAAATATTTACGAATAATATGAATTTATCATCATCATCATCATCATCATTTTCGATTTGATATAAATATTATTATTATTATTATTGTTGTCGAATTCGTACGATCGACGCCATTTTGAAAATTTTTATTTTTTTCGCAAACATTTTTTTTTTTTGTTTTTGTTTTTAAACGTTGGCACCGCTTGGTAAAATTTTAATATATCGTATATATATTTTTTTTTTTTTTGCGTCAAACAAAAAAGTAAATATTGTTTATTATTGTTTATTATTATTATTATTATTTAAATGTCGTTTCGTTAAAATTCAAAGTATATACCAAAAAAAAAAAAAAAAAAAAAAAAAAAAAAAAAAAAGAAAAAAAGAGAAAAAAAATAGAAAAAAAATAGAAAAATTTATAAAAAATCATTACAAAAAAAAAAAAAAGAAAAATATATTTATTAATAAATTTTATATTTAAAAAAAAGTACAAAAAAATGGAAACCGACGACAACAGCGAAAGAAAATTCGAGTTAAAAATAAGGACGAACGAATTGTCGGAGATAAACAAAATGATTGAGGATACAATAAGGAAAAGAATTGATATTAAAGAAGAATTTGAAGAGAGTAAAAAAAAATTTAAAAAAGAAATGTTAAATTTACGTACTATAGAAGAATACCAAGAGAAAAAATTAAACGATTTAGAATGCGAGATAAGAGTTTTGTCGGGGAGAACGATCGATTGTAAGGACATTGAAACGGAAAATTTAGAATTGACGGAAGAATTGATGGAATTGCAAAAAGTCAGTAATACGAAAGAGGAAATCGATAGGTTGGAAAATGAAATCAAAGAAGCTTTTCTCCTATGGGAAAGCATAGATGAGAGTAGCATGATCGTTTCCGTTGGTAAAGATCTCGTTAGGGAAAACAGTAAGAGTTTTCTGACGGAAGCAAGCGCGGAAATGAGAGATAAAGTCATTCAAAAACAAGCTAAAATAAATGCGGAAATGTCTAAAATTGATGAGCAAATTAAAAAATGCGAGGATGAATTACACTTTTATAAGGAACGTTGTAAAAATCTATTGGAAATTGAAAAAAAATTAGAAAATTCCATGGGAAACGTTAACGATAAAACGGAAACCATTTATGAAAAAAATTATTTGAAAGCAGACGACGATAGTAATAGTTTTTGATCACGTTTGATTATGAATTTTCTTTTTATTTTTTAAAAGTTTACCAACGATCGAAACCGTGATGAAATTTTTCCATTGGCAACTCATTTCCATTTCCCTCATTTTGTTTTTACAAAAAAAAAAAAAATAAAATAAAATAAATAAAATAAACTCACCTTTTATTATTATTAATTATTATTCTCACTTATTTAAACAATATAATTTATTAAAACTGTGATAATAATTTTGATTAATTATTTATTTTATTTTAAAATTTTTAAATTTATCGCGAGAAAAAACGTTACAACTACGTTCGAAACTTTTTTTAAAATGTATTGGCTGCAATGATATTTTAAAATGGCGTCTGCAATGACGTACGTAATGACGTACAAAATGGCGTCCAATATGGCGTCTAAAATGGCGTCCAATATGGCGGTATTATTTATACAACACGTGGTTGTATTGCGTGAACGTTACATTTTAAAAAAATCTTTTCCTTTTTTTTTTAAATAAATAAATTTATGTTAGCCGAACGAAGAAGAAAAACAAAATGGTCGCTTTTACCAAAAAGAACTTCCAAACCCATTTGGAGTACAGGTTATTATTGTGTTTTTAATCGTAATTTTGGAAAATAAAAATAAATGTTTAACGTTAGTTTACATTATGGATTTTTACATTAGATACAGAAAATTTACAATATGGCCAGAAGTTAATGGAAAAAATGGGTTGGTCTGCTGGAAAAGGATTAGGTGCAAATGAACAAGGAATGCAAGAACCCCTTAGAGTGTCTTATAAAAATGATACTAAAGGTATTGGAAAAGGAATACATAACGAATATTAAAATCACTATGAAAATTAACATTTTTTTTTTTTTTTTTTTTTTTTGAATATTACCGTTAGGAATGGGATATAAATTGAACGATAACGAATGGTGTGAGCAACAAGAAGAATTTAACGATTTGTTGGCAAATTTAACTGGTGGTAACAAATCTGCCACAGCAGAAGACCCTGTAAAAATTGAAGTCAAAAGTTTAGAAGAGAAATCTAAACAATCGAAAAGTAGAGTTCAGTGAGTGTTGTTATAACAAATGTAATAAAGTGTCGATAAGTTACAATAATTTAAAAATACACTTTTCTTTATTTTTAGTTACAAAAAGTTCACAAGAGGAAAAGATCTTTCACGTTATAGTGAAAATGATTTAGCTTGTATTTTAGGTGTTAATAAAATAACTGAGAAAAAAAATATCGAAAGTGAAAATAAAGTTATGATGGAAAAACCGAAAGAAATTAATAATGATGAAATGTTTGGTGTGAAAACCATACATGGAGGATCCCTGACAGATTACTTTAAAAAAAAATGGGAAAGTATTAAGGGCAAAACAAAAATGTCACAGAGTAATAAAGAATGCGAGAATGATGATAACGATAATAATTTTATAGAAAGTGATTATAAACCAAATAAAGAAATTTTAAAAGATGAACAAGTTGAAAATTTTATTCAAAAGATGGAATCACATTCGAAAGATGTGACAAATCATCAGAATATTGATTCCAATAATTTTTGCGATTCTGATCGAGTTAAAGTTAAAAAACATAAGAAAAAAATTTTAGATTGCAAAGAAAATTGTACTAATGATTTAAAAAAGAAAAAACTTTTACAAAATAATAATAATAATAATAGTGGTGATAATGGTGATTTGAATTGTGAAAATGATTCGTCATTAGGAACATGTGTTGAAAATAACATAACAAAAAATAAAACTCATTTGAATGATATTGAAGATTTGAAAACATTAGAAACAAATTTTTCTAGTAAAAAAAAGGAAAAGAAATTAAAAAAAGAAAAAAAAAAATTAAAAGTTGAAACTGAATGTGATGAAAAAGTCGAATCTGATGAAACGAACACAAACATTCATGATGAAAATGTTTACAAAAAGAAAAAAAAGAAAGATAGAAAAAGAGTTTTATCGGATTGCGACCATGATAATATAAAACCTGTAAAAGAAACAGTTTCCGAAAACCAGGAGGAAACGATTAAAAAGAAAAAGAAGAAAAAAAGGATGGAAAAGGAAAATGCATACATTACCACCGAGGAAGAGAATAAAGTTGAAGGTGTTAAAGGAATGACTGATGAAGGAATGGAAAAAATAGGGAAACCTGTGATTGTTAATGAATCCCCCCTCGAAGAACCCTGTAAGAGAAAAAAAGAAAAATCATCGAAAGTTACTTTTTCAAATGATGATGTCGAAAAGGATGAGAACAAGGATGCAACATGTGATAATTTAGAAGAAAAAGATATTAAAAAAAAGAAAAGTAAAAGAAAACGGGAAGAAGAAGGAGAAGAAAAAGGAGAAAAAATCGATGATGATTGTACAAATCCTCCCAAAAAGAAAAAAAAGAAAAAGGAAAAGGAGGAAGATGTGGTAGTAAATGAAAATGAAGGTGGAGAAGACTCTGATAAATCAAAGAAAAAGAAAAAGAAAAAAAAAGAGGATAAAACGAATAATGTCGAAACTAATGAAATCCCACAGGATTGTGCGAATGAGAGGACCAACAGTCAAGATTTTGGTAAATCAGGAACGCAAAATTGTAACGAATCGTCTTGGAATATGAAGGGATCGGAAAATTCACAACAAAAATTATCATCATCATCGTCATGGAAAAGGCCAAATTCTATTGCCACGAAAAGTAAAGTTTTCAGGTTGATTTCCGGGGCCCATTTTGAAGATTTTAAAGGTTTGAATGTTATGGTTTTAAAAGGTTACGGACAAACCTAATTTAATTTAGTTTTTTTTTTTTTTTTTTTTTTTTTTTGTTAACCAAACTTTTGAATTTTTTAAATAAAAGTTAAAATATTAAAAGAATTTTTTTTTTTTTTTTTTTAAACGAAACCTTTTCCCAAATTTCAAAAAAAAAAAAAAAAAAAAGGGTAAAAATGTAAACAAAATAATAATAATAATAATTTAGTGTTATGAATAGACACAGAGATATTAATTTTTGTTTTGTTATGTTTTGTTTTGTTTTGTTTGTTTTGTTTTGTTCTTTTTTTTTAATATAATTGAAATGTAAATTTAATGAATTAATTTTTTTTTTTTTTTTTTTTTCTTCTCTCTACATTCGGATGATAAAAAAAAAATAATAGTTTTCCTAATGTGATAAACTTAAAAGTAAAAAAATAAATAAATAAATAATAATAATATTTAGTAATTAAAAAAAAAAAGAAAAGAAAAGAGACAAAGAAATAAAAAATAGAAAAAACCCGAAAGAGAGAGAGAGAGAGATGAATTGTCCAAATACTTCACCGCGTCTTAAACCAAATTTAAAAAATAAAGATTTTGTAAGATGGCAAAGAGCTGAAAAAATTATTTGCAATGATAATATTGTATCAACGGATTGGCGTAAGTATTTTGTAAAAAAAAATATACATATGTAATTAATTTATATAAATATTAATATTAATATTTAAAAAAAAAAAACAAAACATTTACAGATGAAAAATTAGAAAAAACACCATTGTTTACAACCGTGGATAACGGCGTAAGTGATTATTTATAAATAATAATTATTATTATTATTATTATTAGTAAGGATGCGTTAAATGTGTACGGTGATGATGATGATGATGATTTTTTAGAATCCGACAAACATGATATACATAATGAGCGGTGAATATGGAAGAATGTGGTTGAAAGAAAGAGACGAATGGTATGCCAACGTGTTCGTTCCATCGTTTAAAGAAATCAATTTCATAAATAGGAGAAAGAAAATAAGGAGAGAAGCGAGGAAAGCTAAAAAAGAAGCCGAAGCAAATATAAAAGAGAGAAAAGAAAGGAGAGCTAAAGAATTGGAAGCCAAAGCCAAAGTCGAACAGGAAAAATTGGAAAAATTAAAAGCTAAAATACAAAAATTTAAATTTACCGAAAAGAAAAAATCTAAAAAAGATGGCGGAAAAGATGTTAAAGACGGCGTTAAAGGGAATAAAAATTCTAAAACGGTTAAAACGACGGGTACCCCGAGTAAAAATCAAAAACAAAATCAAGAAACCTCTTCATCAAGATCACCATCACAAAATCCAAAGTAATTTCTTAATTTTTTTTCCCCTCCCTCCCCCTCTCTCCCCCCTCCTAATTTTTTCTTCTACAAATCATAAAATAGTGATGATGATGATAATAATAATAAAACCTTTTTTACCCTGTTCTATTTAGGGAAGAAGAAAAAACAGCAGAAGAAGGTAAATTTAGTTGCCCTAAAAATTCCGTACCCATCGAATTAACCGTACAGTAAGTTTTTTGTACTTTTTTTTTCAAAAATCATTTTCCTAACAACAACAAACACAAACACAAACAAACAATTTTTCTCATTTTACATTTTTAGATGCGAATGCTCTCATCACTCTAAACAAGAACAAGAGTGTGGAGGTAATCAAGATGATAATAATAATAACAATAATAATAATAATAATTGTATGCAAACGGAAAAAGGTGATAAAAATCCGCCTTTGTGTAAAGATTACATGTCACAATTAGCCGCCATACAAGATGAAAAAATTAATTCAGAAACAAAATGATTAATTACTTTTAAAAATGACAATTTAAAAAAAATTAATTGATTAATTAATTAATTAATTTAAAAACTATAAAAAATTAATGATCACCCTATCTTTCTTTTTTTTTTTTTTTGTAAATTTTTTTTTGTATAAATTAAAATTTAATAATAATAAAAATTAATTAAATCAATTAAAATTTCTTTTCTGTTTTTATATATATATAACTTAATAATACCTTACATTAATTATTATTATTATTATTATTATTATTAACATGTTTACAGGTAAGTTTTTTGTTTGTTGTTGTTTGTTACAACCAACAAATTAAATATGAATAAAATTTTATTATTAATTTGTTCATTATTATTATTTTTCAGTCAGTTTGTTTAATTTTACCTGCAAAACTACAAAAAAAAAGTTATACAATGATAATAGTTGTAGTAATAATAATAATAATAATAGTAATAATAGTAGATAGTAATAGTAATAATAATAATTTGTCCTCTTTTTTTGTTTTTTTCTTATTGAAATTTTCTTCTAAAAATTCTACCACACATTGAATTTTACACAAATACTTTTTTTTTTTTGTTTAATATTATAAATAATAAATAAATATTTTAATAAGATCATTATTTTTGTAAAATTGTGAAACGTTATATAAATTTTTTTTAGAATTTATTGCTGTACGTACCACACACACACAGAATATCATAACAATCTAATTTAGAATTAAGTAAGAAAGAATTGATGTCGCGCGTACATTTTTATTAATATTATTATTATTATTATATAAAATTATAATTATCGATTACATGTTTTATCACGAACAATAAAAATGTATGCGTGATACCTTATATATGTATAAATATATATAAATACATACTTTATGTCCCGTCAGTAATTATTCCAAATGTAAAATGTAAAACACAAATTTTAATTTGATTTGATTTAATATATAAAATAAATTTTAAATTTAATATTATTACATTCATTCACTTACACGATTACAAAATGCTTTTTTTTTTAACCGAACTATATAAAAACTACGTTCGAATAATAAATCGAACTGAAAAAAAAAAAAAAAAAAAAAAAAATTTTTTTGTTCCGAATATCACATTTCGCGTATAATTTCCAAATCAAAATGACGACAAAACAGATAAATAAATCATTTTATCGATCGATCGATCGATATATTCATCGATTAATGTTTAATTCCACGACGATCGAGCGCAATTGAGAAATTTGCTTAGTTACACGATGAAGGTGTAATACTACTACTAAAATGAATGCAATGTTGAACGAAAATAACGACGAAAATAAACGACGAATTGATTAATTTTTTTTGTTTTGGTTTTTTTTTTACATTGCAGGCGTTTCGTTACGATCCAAGCAAATTTTTATTATGTAGTAAATTTAAAAAAAAAAAAAAAAAAAGAAAACGTTTACTTAATTTAATCGTATCGGAATGTGAAATTAGTATAATTGAAATTTCCATTGCATGCACCTTCGAAGAATGCATAAAATTTGTCAGTATCACATTCTAAAATAAATAAAAAATAATGTAATAAAGTTTTCCTATATTGTGTGTTTAAAAAGTTTTCTGTTGGAAAAACCTACACGTACCTTCTGAGTATTCCAAATTTTGACCGTTATCATATCTGACTTTTTTCACTGGATCAGATAAAACACTATACGCTTCTCCAACTTCTTTGAATTTTTTCTCTTGTCCCAACCTTTCCGGTTCGGACGCGTTAATGTGCCGATCTAAAATCATAATGATTAATAATTATTAATTAATCGAAATTAATTAAAGAAAAAAAAAATAATCACAATTTTACCAGGATGATGTATTAAAGCCCTTTTTTTATAAGCTTTTTTTATTTCGTCGATGGTCGCGGTTTTCGTTATTCCAAGAATTTTATAATAATCCTTTCTATTAGATTTTCTCAGTTCTAATTTAGCTTGTTGCAAAAGTCTTTTGTTTTCTTTGGTCATTTTCATTTTGTATACGGCCTCGTAATCTTCCACTGCTTCCTTATAATTTTGCATTTGCATGTAACACCATGCTCTGTGTTGAAGAGCTTTCAGGTATTTTTCGTCCAATTTTAAAGCCGAAGTGCAATCGGCAATCGCATCGTTTAATTTGTTCAACTATTAAAATACATTAAAGAGTACAGCACAGAATTTAAAAGATTTACATTTTCATTTTTTTAAAACAGAAAGTCGATGTTTGTTGACTTACCTTTGAAGCTACAATAGCACGATTAAAAAATAATTTTGCATTAATTATTTTGTTCTGTGGATCGACGTTTAATGCTTCAGAATACAAGTCGAGGGATTCTTGATATTTAAAACTATTAAAAGCATTATTCGCTTCATCTTTTTTTTGTTTTAACAATTTGACTTTTTTATACACTTCTAAAATTCTTTTGTGACCAGGAGCTAATTTAAGAGCGTGCTGGAAAAGTTTCGAAGCACGTTCTAACGTTCCTGTACTTTCTCCGTAGTACACGCACAATCCGCGAACATATATAGCATCAGGGTTTTGCTCTAATTCCAAAACGTCACTGTAAATACAACAATATGTTTTTATTTCAATCGAAAAAAAAATTTTAAATAACATAAAAAGTTTTACTAATTTTAAAAACACTCACTTGGCTATTACTCTCGCTTCATAATATTTTCCTAACAATGCCAGACATTCAGCTTTTCGAAGTTTATAAGATGTACAATTTACTCCGAAAGCTTGCATGCAATCAACGCAAAAAACAACCCTTCTGTAATTTTTAGATTCATATGCATTGTCAGCATCTTCCTTAAAATATTTCACACGTTCTACTATTTTGGATTCATTTTCAGCAATTTCACTATTCGGACATAATTCTTTGGCTTTGGAAATTGAAGAAACAGCTGCTGTTATGTCTCCGAAAACGAGAAAACATTTTGCCATTCGAACATATCCTTTTACAAATGTTGGATCTATTGAAACTGCTTTTCTCGCATCCTCCAATGCATTCCTAAATTTTGATAGCATTATATAACATGCTGATCTATTACCATAATAAGAAGCATTTTTCGGTTGAAGAGAAATCGCTTCGGTGTAATATGGTAAAGCCTCTTCATACTGCTTTAACATGTACAATCTGTTTCCCTCTGTTTTCTTTTCTTCAGCTATGCTGTAAAATAAATATTAAATTTAGTGAAATTACAATTTATACAAAGGAAATCATTAAGTTTAATTATAGAAATCAAATTATTTTCATTGTTAAAAAAATATAATCAATAAAAAATTTATATTGCACCTTTTGAAAATTTTAAAACTTTTTTTGTAATTTTTAGTCGAATTTTTAAAGCAATCTAATGCTGTCACTATTGAATACTCATTATTCATTGCGAAAATAACAATTTAAAAGTAATAGGCATGTGAATAATACCCGAATAATATAAAAATTTTCTTATTAAAAAAACAATTCAAAACAATCGATATAGTTTTCATTTTTGCAATTTATCAACACAAATACATATTAAAAATTTAATTTATCATAATAAATCTCTAAATAAAAACATTAAAAATAAATTTGGGTCAGCTTCCAAAAATTATTTTAAAAATTGAATATTCACTGTGTGTTCTAGAAAATGTAAAAGTACAGTTATGATGTACTAATACATTCACAATTATTAATAATAAAATAAGTTTATTTTTATGTATAAATGCAAATAAATATTATTAACAAAATGGAATTTAATTCAACAAATTAGCCTGTAACTTAAAAACTTGAAACTGTATCACAGATGTATAAAAAAAAAAAGGAAATTTTAAGAAACAATAATACATTTACAAAAAACATAATAATAATAAAAATAAAAATTTATGATAATAATTTCCTATAAGTTATCATTTCAAAAATAAATTATACAATCACAATTATCATTATTAACATAAAAAAAAAAAAAAATTATAAATGAAATAATTTTATATGTGTTACATGACATAAACAAAAATAATTTTTTTTTTTTTTTTAATTACTTAATGAGAATTTTTTGGATTTGTGAAAAATCTTTATAATTTTATTATATTTGATAAGTTAAAAAAACATAATAATAATAATAATTTGAAAGAGGTGAGGGGGGGAGGGGGGAAAAAGAAAAAAAATTGTTATTGTTAAAACAATAAGTACTTACTCTTCATCATCGTATATAGTTATAACTTTATCGTTTTCTTCCATTAATTCTAATATACGCATTATAGTAGACATTTCTGCCATAATTAAATAATATTTAACTTTTAATTAAGTTAAATATATATTAAAATAAAAGGAACATTTTTTAAAATAAGTTAATAATAATAATAATAATAGAAAAAAGAAAAAAGAAAAAAAATTTAGTTGTTTACTATCCACATTGTTATCCACTGGAAACACTTTTTAATTATATATATTTGACCTGACTGGTTGGCGTTACTGTTTTTTTTTTTTTTTTTTTTTTTTTTTAAAATTCACTAAAATAATAAATTATAATTTATTTACTTTTTTAATTTTTTATAATAATTAATTATACGTTTAAAAAAAAAATCATTTTAAATTTTGCTTTTTAAAAATCCATAATATTCAATCGACTCGATATTTATTCCAAAAAAAAAAAAAAAAAAAACTATTTGGTCAATATTGGTTGATAGTAAGTTTTTCAAATTCATAGATGTCAGTTAAATAAATAAAAAGTTTAAAAATAAAATAAAACGAATCAAATAATTATTAATTATTCCTTATTAACAATCCTTTAAAATTAAAATTCAAACTCACTTTTCCATTATAAAAAATAAAATAAATTTAATAAATTCTGTCGAATACTTATTAAGAACAAAAAAAAAAAAAAAATGGCGAATTTTTCTAAAAAATTAATTAACTAAAAAAAAATAAAATAAATTCTTTTCCTGAATTAAAATTAACGATTAAAAAAAAGGTTTGTAGGAATAAATGGAGTAAATATGGATAATTTATAAATATAATAATTATTCAATTGTCCATTATGATAGGTACTGATATAAAAAAAAAAAAATTAAGGTATATAAAATTAAGGTTAATAATAAAATAAAAGTTAACAATAAAATTGAAAAGTTTTTTTTTTTTTTTCTTAATACTTTTAATAATTTTAATAAATAAGTAAATATATATTTTAAATTTATGTATATATATATAAAAAGAAATGTATATATTAAATGAAAATAAATTTTTATCATTTAATATTTAATTGAATATTGATAAGAAGATATAACAAAAGTTTTGATATCAAGAAGAAAACATATGAAAAAAAAAATTTCTCATCAGTACATATGCAAGACCGAGTAAAGTTCACAGTATAAGTAAATAATGTATGAATTTCTATTATATTTATATAAATTTTTTTTTTTTTAAAGCAAATTTTTTTTTTTTTTTTTTTAAACCGTTAAATTAAAGTAATATTATGAATTATTTTGGTTAAAAAAAAAACAAAAGGAAACGATATTATTAAGGAAATTATTTAATTTTTTTTTTTTTTTTAAGCCGGGCTCATTAAATTTCAATTGGTGGTGGTGATGATGATTATTTGAATTTGGGTGGGAGTTAAAAATCAAAAACCTTGCACCCGAAAAAAAAAAAAAAAATTTTAAAAATAAATGTTTAAATTTTATATAATATTTATATTATTCTCTTCATAGGAGATTTTTAATGATTTTAATATACAGTGAAATTTAGCTAATAATTATTTAAATTATATAATTGACGATTGCCGAAGAAAATGGGCAATAGAAATTGTTGTTTTGCTTATAAAACACCACCGCCCGTCAGAAAACCACATTTGGATGGGACTCCCGTTGGAGAAACCATAACAGACTGGAAGCATAATAGTCATGCAAATTTACCACACATTAGTGAAAGAGAACCTGAAAATTTTGAAGCTAATCCTTCAATACATGCAAAAGCAGGAACTTTATTCATGGAAAGGTCCAAGGTCTCTGAGAGTAAGTTACAAAAAAAATTTTATTTCTCTTTATCAAATTTTTTTAAAAAAAGTAAACAAATAAATTTATCTTTATATTTTTAAGTAATTATGTCGCATATTTCTTTGCATATAATTTTTTTTTTTTTTTTTTTTTTTGGTTTTTACAGATGGAATGGTCAGGAAGAAAAGTCTTAGTCATGTAAGCATCATACAATTATTATATTGAAAATAATATATATATATATATATGACCACCATTCATATATATATATAAAATGTTTTAATGTTGTGTAGATGTATGTATTTTTTGTTTTAAGATTACAGATGCATGCAGGCTGAAAAAAAGCAATTCATGTTCTACCATATATTTAGATGATAGCACAGTTTCTCAACCAAATTTAAAAAACACAATAAAATGTGTAGCTCTTGCAATTTATTATAATATTAAAAATCGTACATCCGATAGACAACTCGATATATTCGATGAAAAATTATATCCATTAACTGTAAGTATACAAGCACAAGCTTTTAGTTTTCTGTCAATTGTTAATTTTATAGTTTTGTTAATTAAATGTTAATTTTTTTTTTTTTTTTTTTGTGGAAAGAATAGAATGTGTAAATAATTAATTATTTCAGAAAGATCCCGTTCCTGATAATTACGATCAGCACATTCCAGAGCATAGGCAAATATATAAATGTATTAGAACTTTATTCGGTGCTGCTCAATTAACAGCTGAATGTGCCATTATAACTCTAGTTTATTTGGAAAGGTACCTACCACCACCATTTAATGTTATTAAAAAGGCTGCATGTAAATGTTGAGTAATAACAAAAGTTTTTTTTTTTAACAAATGTTAAAGGTTGTTAACGCTTGCTGAAATAGATATCACTCCGGGTAATTGGAAAAGAATAGTTCTCGGAGCAATTTTATTAGCATCAAAGGTTTGGGATGATCAGGCTGTGTGGAATGTAGATTATTGTCAAATATTAATAGATGTTACAGTAGAAGACATGTAAGTAGGAGAAAAAATTTTAAAAATAATTTTTGTAATATATGTATAAATCAGATTAAAATAAAAATTTTTTTTTTTTAGGAACGAATTAGAAAGGCAGTTTTTGGAAATGATACAATTCAATATAAATGTGCCGTCCAGTGTTTATGCCAAATATTATTTTGATCTCCGAACATTAGCAGAAGATAATGATTTGGCTTTCCCTGGTGAACCCCTGAGCAAGGAGAGAGCTGAAAAACTTGAAGCAATGTCTAGGAAATATCAAGACAAAATCGTATTAAATGCTTTAAAAAATGCTAAAAAATGGTCTAGTTTAGATAATATTAGCATGGGACAACCCAGGAGAAGCATAGCAATTTTGTCTTGAGCCTTTATACATAATTTTATTTTTTAATTAAAAACAAACAAACAAACAAACAAACAAAAAGGGACAATCAATGAAAAAATAAATTATTATTATTATTATTAGTAGAAAAAAATATTAAACGTAATAATTACATTAGATCAAAATATTTGGAGACTTATAAATCGTGTTAAATAATATTAATAATAATAATAATAATAATAATGCCATAGTCGATAAAAAAAAAAAAAAGTCCGAAATAGTGAAATATAATTAAATTTAGTAAAAAATAATAATAATAATATTAATTAATTAAATTTTGATTATATAGGGAAAAAATTTTTTATTTAAATTTAAATTTATTTATTGGGGCCAAACAAAAATGATTAACTTCCCAAAATTAAAATTAATAAACATGAAGCAAAAAAAAAAAAAAAACTTATATTGTAGATATATTATAAAATTATATATAAATATATATTATCGTAGATGACTGGAAACGATAAAGCAATTTGTAATAAGCCAAAATAAAATTTAAAAAAATTTATTTAGGTTTAGGCTAATTGATGCCATCCATATTGCTGTAAAAATCAACGCTGTTAAATTCAAAAAATCAATTAAACAAATTTTTTTTTAAAATTTTTATTTTGCAACAATATTTTTTATATATATTATGAATTTGATTTTTATTATTAAATTCATTTTTTTTTTTTTTTTTTTTGCCATTTTGACTGCTGCCTACTGTTTAGTTAGTGTGAATTTTTTTTTTTTTGTATTATTCTTAATTTAAATAATTTAAAGAAATTTTTTTACAAAAAAAAAAAAACTTTACGTTTATTTTTTATATTATTATTATTATTATTTAAATATTTTCATCATTATATTTTGTTGCAAACTTATTATTATTATTATTATTATTTTTTAATAAAAATTTATCGATTGATATTTATTTATTTTTTTTCTCAAAAAAAAATTTGATATTATTTTTTCTTTTATTTGTGAATTTAAATGTAAAATTTAATAATAATAATAATAATAATGAAAATATTACACCAATAGATTTAATAAGATTGTCCAAAAAATTATTATTATTATTATTATAACATTCCATTCAATTTTTTTTCCCCCTTTAATGATAATAAATGATAAGGGCGTTGAATAGAAATTATTATTAAATTTTTTATTATTATTTGATAAAATGGCATTGTGTTATTTGATTGCCTGTTTTAATAATATATATATTATTAAATAATAAACCAACGGTTTTTTTCTATTTTCATTACGAGTCATTTTTTTTTTTTTTTTTTATAAATAGTTTTAGTCACGATTTATAACGCTTTTGACTTTTAAAATATTATTATTATTATTATAAAAATATAAAAAATTTTTTTTTGAGTTTATTTTATTTACTTTTTTTTTATATCTTTTTCCTGTTCGATAATGAAATAAATTTTATGTTATTAATTATTATGTTCGATAAATTAATAATAAATTATTTATAATAATACGGATAATATTGCAAATAAATAACTCGTTTAATAAATATTTATTAATTTTCTTTTTTAAATAGATTACTAATAAATAATAATAATAATAATAATAAATAAAATTTAACGGTTTTTTTTACAACGAACACAATTAATATATATATAAAAAATAATCGTAAAGTTTTATGAGAGTTTATCGATTAGATTATTTATTTATTTATTTATTAATAATTCATTTTGTTTATTTATTAAATATTAAATAAATAAAAAAATTTATTAAAGCATATTATTATTATTATTTATACGAATAAAGAACTGGGTAACTGCAAGAATATTTTCGATTAACAAACTTTCGAGATATTTCGATTTTGATTTTTTTCGATTCTCGAATTTTCCTCAACCTGATCGAGATTATATTATCGATTGTGAAAAATGTTCGATTTTTATTTAAAGCTGTTTTATTCGTGAATTCGATTTCCAACCGCTCCTTTCGGTTGCCATTTCTACTTCGTCTAAAAAAGACGTTGAATTGTGTATGGTGGTACCACCGAGCACGATGCTTACTCTCGCGTGTGTCCTATTCAGCTGATGTACGATCAAAGATTCTGCATATGTCGTACCACCGATCATAAAAACAATTACATCTTGAATTCTATAAAAGAGTAAGTTTTTTTTTTTTTCATTTTGAAAATCTTTTCAACGTCTCGGACTACTATTTAACATCAATTTCTAGACTCACTTTTTGTTTCCTTGACCTTTACTACTGTTTACGTAGGGATACATGGATTCTTTTAATTTCCCTTTAATCAAATCCTCTAACGTTTCTTTCAATAATGGCGTATGCCTCGTGAAAACGTTTTCGACTCCTTTCAAATCCGATAATTTTTTCTTTATTTTTTCAACCGTTTTATTTTCACCGAACAAATCGCTTTTAATATCCACGCTGTAATGCCTTATTTTATCTACCATCTAGAATCAAATGTAATAATAATAATAATAATAATTTTTTAATTAAAATTTCATGTAAACTTTTTCATTCGGCAGCCATTTTGTTTCTTACGTTAATTAACCTGTCGGAAACTCCTCTTTTTCTTAACGCGTTTACCAACATGTTAACATTGGCATCCCCCGAACGTCTATACCTTAAACAATATAATATGACCAAACGTGTGGCGTCTATATCTCTAATTTTATTATTATTAATAATCCCACGTATGTTCTTCGAAAAAAAAAAGGAACAAATTTAGTGTTTGATCAAAAAAAAAGAAAAAAATGTCGGTATCAAAACTCAATTTTTTTATATTCAAACTCACTTGTAATTGTTGGCTTTGATCATCTTGCGAAACAATATCCTGTTCCAATTCCGAAACATCCATCAAACAATATTTTCCAATCAAGGAAAATATTTCATCTACAACGTTTACATGTTTGGTTGCCGTTCCTGACATTTTAGAAAATTGCGGATAAGACTCGACGAAATTTTTCATATCCGCAATCGTTTCCACCTTTTTGTGACTTTTGGCCTTTTTTTGAAATTCATCAACCAATTCCTTAATCATCTGAGCTATTTCACCATAATTTAGATACAAGTTCTGAAATCAAACATTCTCATGTACAATCGTTTGCAACAGCAAAAGGATGGGTTATTAAATTACTAAACATACATTACAATAAAATTCATCGTGTTCTGCTGACAAAACAACTTCTTTCATGTCTTGGTTTTTCGGTAAGCAAACCCTATTGTTATTGATTGTGAGAAGTTCATGCACCATCGCTTGATAAGTCCACTAATAAGTCACGATAACAAACTAATTAGTTTTCAAACAGATTCTAAATCGATAAAATGACTTTAATGAAAATATTAAAAGAAAATAATTTACTTGATTAAGCAAAGGAGTTATGGGATCTTCTCTTCTGTCTAAAATAAGGAGAATCGTAGAAGTGCTATGATGACCGACATTACAAAGAGAGCTTTCACGAGTTAACACATCACGAACTCCTTCTGCTAACCTCTTGGCCATTTCGGACATTCCTTGATATCTAATTATAGGGAATCTTTTAAGTGATAAAAGTACTGATGTTATTCCCTGTATTGATCTTTGCAGGTGATTTAAGTTCCAAGATAATTCTAAATTAATCAATTTAAAAGGCTTACAATTTAAATAAATTCTTTTTTTTTTTTTTTTTTTTCCGTATTCGAAAACTCTTAAAATTTTCAAACTGTTACGATACTTGCTTCCCTAAATGTTATTATTTTTTTCGAAATAAAATTGTACACATTTTAAAAATTAGTACTGTTAATAAGAAAAATTAAAATACATAATTTTAAATATAAATTTTTATTAATAATAATTCTCACCTTCGTAAATGCAAGGAATTCCTAGAGAAAATAAATGAGGACTGACAGCTAAATAATCAGCATAAAATTCTTGAATTTCCCTAACGACTTCTTGCTCATCTGATTCTGCTAATATTTTAATATCTGATTTTGAAATAATATTACTTAAATCTATAAATTAAAAATCAATTTTTTAATACATAATTAATATTGTGAATTTTTTTGTCGATTTTGATTTTTGAAAAAACTGATGAAATAAATAATAACTCACAAATGTAATAAGTACTGTATCTTGGATATTTCAATTCCCCAGCCAGAAAACCGATATTTTCCTTTGTTGGCCTCATAAACACTATACATTTTAAATGTTTTATAGATTCCTTTCTGTTTCCTACATCTATTCTTTCAAATAAATAAACTTCTTTTTGAAAAATTTCCGATTGACTGTAAACCATGCTTATGATACTTGTCTAAAACAAGCATTGCTTTGTAATTTCATTAAAAAAAAATTATCTCAAATATTATTATTTAAAAAAACCTTACGGTTTGTTTATCCAAAAGTAAAACTTTCATTCCCGGACCACTATCTTCAATCATTTTTGAAATGTATGTTTTCACCACTGAGATCACATTCATTTTGCTAATAGTATCTAAAGTACATATCTATTTTAGTATTCACTACATTGGTTTCATCGGGTAAAAATTTAATATTTATAAAATAAGTTTAAACTTACCTGTTCCAATAATTGAAGACATTTTGTACAAAAACTTTCCACATCCAAAAATACTGTCTATGACTAAAAATTTAATTAGTCAAATGCAACTGATATCACATTTGCATCTAACTTCTTATAAATGACAAAAGTATAATTATAATAACATATTAAATAAGTTTGATTACTTTTATTTTAAAAAAAATAACTATGTAATTACTTATCGTGTTATTTACTCTCGTACATATTGGCAACAATATTGATTAATTGTAATGCTGCCAACATAAATGAATAAAATATTTCCCTCCTGATTTGATTAACGAATGTGCGACAAATTTGGTTTGCACAATTGTAATTCTGCCAACATAAATGAATATAAAATATTTCCCTGCTGATTTAAATGACGCATGCGCGAAAAACTGTGTAAAAATAAAAATAATAATAAATACTTTTTAAGCTTTACTTTAAAAACCAAATAAATTTCAATAATTTTTTTTTTTTTTTTTTTCAACAATGTATTTATTTTAAACCAATAATTAAATAGAATTTAAAAAAATAATATAAATACTGAATACAGCATAATTTCCCAATTTAAGTACGTATAAAAAAATATAAAATCCCTTATCGATTATCATTATAAAAAGTATTATATTTCCCTTCTTATTTTTGTAAATTTATTCCTTTCCAGAGGCTTCTTTGAGCGAGACGGTTTTGTTGAAAACTAACTGTAATGAAAATTACATTAATTAATAAATAAAGTTTTCGATTAAAACTTGTAATAAATTATATGAAAAAATATATATATACCCTTTTATCGTCACTATCTTTGTCAACAGTGAAAAATCCATTTCTTTCAAATTGAAAAGTATCGTAACATTTACTTCCGGAAAGTGATAAATCAGCTAGAGATTCTATTTCGTGAAGTGAATCTTTGTTACAATCCGATAAAAATCCCTCGGGGACTTCATTTGGATCATCTGGATTTTTATGGTGAAATCTGTCGAAGAAAATAAATCATTGAATATTATTTTTCATAGAAAATTGAAATGATGTGTAGTTTAAAAAATTGATTAATACGTACAAAGGATCGAATATTCTCACAGTTATCTTCATCGGATTTGAAACCCAATGAATGAAAGCTTTCGGTTTGACTTTGATTTCCGAGACTGGAGTGCATTTCACTTTTAACTCCAGTAAATTTCCAGCTGAATCTTTAACAGTTTCATCCAAATGAATAACATAACCGGCATGACGTAATCCTACTGGCTGCGCTTTAGTAAGTCTGCGATATCCTGCTTCATGTTCCTGAAATTAAAACAAAATTCTTTAGTTTTATTTTACAAAATGTCAATCAATTAGATTTTTTTTCGTATATACATACTTCTCTAAAATCAGATCTTTCAATAAAAATTGTACTACTAAATTGAATAGTATGTGTGCCTTTTGAAGCATCATCGGGAAAATTGGGAACATTGATTTTAATGACGTCTTTTGATGGGAAATTTGTGATGGTTACTTTTAACGGCTCTAGTACCACCATACGTCTAAAATTAAAGTACCAGATTATATAAAAACCATTTTTTTTTATTAAAATAAATGCATATATGATAAATTTAAAAAACGTTACCTTGGAGCTGTGATGTTTAAAACGTCCCTAACGTAGGCTTCTAAAACCTGGGGATCGACAGCACTCATAGCACCTGTTACACCCATTCCAGCACAAAAATTATTAATCGCTTCTGCTGGAAAACCTCTTCTTCGAAGTGCAGATAAAGTGAAAAGTCTGGGGTCATCCCAATCTACAATTTTAAATTTTTATTTATAAAAAGTTTTAAGGTTTGCATTATGAATAAATTTTTCATTTTAAAAAATCATTTACCTTTAACAATGTTTTCGGTAATTAATTTTGCTATTTTACGTTTTGATGTAACCGTATAATTGACGCTCAATCTTCCATATTCCCACTGTACGGGACAGTACAATTCAAGAGAGTTACACAACCAATAATATGAAGATCGTCTGAAAAAAAAAAAAAAAATTTATTTATTTATTGTGCAAAATCAACAAGTAAAAAAATTAATGAAAAATTACACACACCTCGATTGAAATTCTTTGGTACATAATGAATGAGTTATGTTTTCTATTGAATCACATAGACAATGAGTGTAATCATAAGTAGGATAAATACACCATTTATCTCCAGTACGATGGTGGGGTACGTATTTTATTCTATAAGCCACAGGATCTTCTTTTCCTTCTTCCAACCTTACTTTCATTCTTAAAGTAGCTTCTCCTTCATCAAATTTCCCATTTTTCATATCCTTTTAAAAACATTTTTCATTAAATTATTTTTAATATAAAAAAAAGAAATAGATATATAATAAAAAAAAAAACAAGTAATTTACCTGAAATAATCTAATGTTATCTTCGATGGGACGATCTCTCCAGGGAGAAGGAGGTGGATTAAAACCTTTTATATCTTCAGGTTTTTGATGGCACACATAAGCAAGTCCTTTTTTAATTAATTCAATTGCCAATTCATACAATTTGTCAAAATAATCTGATGAATGAGTTATTTTGTATGGTTTATATCCTGAGCAAATTTAAAACAAATTCTTATTGTAATTTTAATGATTAATGACTTTATTAATTGTTTTTAAATAAAAATTTCACTAACCTAACCATTCGACCATGTCTTTAATTCCGATAAAAAACTTTTCTTCTTCTTTCTCTGGATTGGTATCGTCATATCTAAGAAAACATACTCCATCATAAGCTGCAGCATATCCGAAATTAATATTAATGGCTTTTGCATGACCAATGTGAAGTATACCATTGGGTTCAGGTGGGAATCTAGTTCTAACCTAAATTACATTTAATAAAATTTTCTTTAAGTGTTTACTTTCAAATTTTTCGTTAAACTGTACAAAAAAATTACACATTTAAAATTTTACTTTGCCTCCTGTTATTTTCAAATGCTCTGCCAATAGTTCTGCAGTTTTAGGTGTGACCACATAGCCATCAGTTTTATAATTTTCACCGACTTTATGAAAATGAACTTTATTTTTCATTAATTCTCCAATCGTATTCGAACCTTGAGATTCGACTAAAAAAAAAAAAAAATTTTTTTAAATTATAAAATTTAATTATAAATACATTTACTACAAAAAAAAATTATCATAAAATAGGAAGTAATATTTACCAGCAACCTTTTTTTGCACTGAAGGTTTATTTTCCACTGAACTTTTCGGTTTCTCAGGTTTAGTTTTTACCGGTTTTTTTTTATCTTCTTCTGTTTTGGGGCCCAAAAGATCAAGAACTTGCAAATCGACTTCACTTTTAATGGCTTTTCCATCAGCCCATTTTAATTGCTGTCTAACATCCTGCATAATTAAACCAATATTGAAATGGTACCTAAAGAATTTTTTTTTTGTTATGAATAGAAATTACTAAAAATTTTAGTTTTATTTTAAACTAAATAATGGGCTAACCTGTTTTTAATTAAATCATCTTTGAATTTTTCCATGACATTTTCTACACATTGTTCAATTTGCTCAGGAGATACAACTACTCCTACACCACAGTACTCTTCAAAGTTTTCCTTATTAAAATCTGATTTGATATTTGACAATAAATAGTCTAAAGCAGCTAAAAAATTTATTTTGATAAATTGAGTATGTTTAAAATTATTTATTTATTCTTTTAAAAGAGCTAATAAAGAAAAGCCAACCTTCTAATTTAACAGTTGAGTCAATTTTTTGAGACATAATATATGATACCAGTAAAGGTACTTGCTCTTTAATTTGAGATTTAATTTTACTTGCTAAGTGATAAACAAGTATTCCTGTTTGAGAATCAACAGGTCCATATTTATTTGCCTGGAAAATAAAATTTTTTCGTAAACCTAAATTAGTTATTAATGTTTAAGCAAGAATAAAAAATTTAAAAAATTAAATATAACCAAATTATTTTAGAAAAAGCATATGGACAAGGACTTAATTAGTAATTTTTTAATAAGTAAATTATTTTTTTCGGCGCGTTAAATTAAAAAGAAAACTACCTCAGTAATAGCCTGGAGGAGATTTTGCGTAAGACCATTATTTTTAAGTGTTTCTTTCGCTTTACTTTCACTTAAACCGATACTCTGTAAAGTTTTTAAAATTTCCACGTCTCCCGCACCCATGGTATTCACACTACACTTTAAGACGTGGAACTAGTGAAAAAAAAATACTCGAGGAAACGGAAATTGGTTCTTCCTCCATTTCTGGCATTTGTTGTGAGAAGACCACGTTTTGCCCATTAATTTTTTGCTTAATTGGTGCGTACGTTTCATTTTTTCGTTTGTTTAAGTTAAAAATAATTTTTTTTACGTTTTTTATAATCGATAAATAATTTTAATTGTACCTAAAAAGTAATTAATAACCGTTTTTTTTCGACTTAGCAGATGGTCAAAAACTGAAGTGACACAGATATGGATGTAGTAGAATCGTCAGTGGCAGCCCAAGCGGCTGAATTACCAGAAATTAAATTATTCGGAAGATGGAGTTGCGACGATGTTCAAGTTTCAGATATGTCGCTACAGGATTACATCGCGGTTAAAGAAAAAAATGCTAAATACTTACCACATTCAGCTGGACGATATGCTGCCAAAAGATTTCGTAAAGCCCAATGTCCGATAGTTGAACGACTTACGAATTCTTTAATGATGCACGGCCGAAACAACGGGAAAAAATTAATGGCTGTTCGTATTGTTAAACATGCTTTTGAAATTATTCATTTGCTAACTGGAGAAAACCCACTACAAATTTTAGTATCGGCAATCATTAACTCTGGACCGAGAGAAGATTCAACTAGAATAGGAAGGGCCGGAACAGTAAGAAGACAAGCTGTTGATGTTTCACCCTTGAGAAGAGTAAATCAAGCTATTTGGCTCCTTTGCACTGGTGCTAGAGATGCTGCATTTAGAAATATTAAAACTATCGCAGAATGTGTTGCTGATGAGTTAATCAATGCTGCTAGGGTAAAATATTTTTCTTCATTTAAACTTATAATATAATAATGAATACAATAAGATGTAAATTTTTTTTTTTGTTATTTTACAGGGTTCATCCAACTCATATGCTATCAAGAAGAAGGATGAATTGGAACGTGTAGCTAAATCTAACCGTTAAGCTGAAATTTTTAAACAATTTTATGATAATACATCATACACATTATTTTTAAAAAAAAAAAACATTGTTTTTATTTTTTTTATCCTTCAGTATCATAAAACACCTTACCCACAAAATATTTACCTAATTGGAGCGCGCACACCCACACACACACACAAATATTTCAACTTGGTTATTTAGATTCGAATGTTTGTGAAAAAAATCCCATTTCGAACTTTTAAAAATTTACATTTTTTTTTATTCTATAAATTTCTTACATAATTTTCTGTTTTTTTTTTCTCTTAATTCTGAAATTAAGACAATATGGTTAAAAGTAATTTTTATCTAAAAAACAATTTGTTTTTAACTTAATTTTTTTTTTTTTATTGCAATAAATATAAAAGGCTAATGATATATATATATAATTACTTTTCAAATTTTTTTTATTATTTTTCGAAATAAAATACTTTATTAAATCTACATTATTTTTATTTCCCAATTTTCTGTCATTGATACACCTGGTTTACGAATTGTCAAAACATTATTCGATGACAATCTCGTTTCCAAAGAAGCAGAATTACCTAAAAACATGACAAATATAATATGAATACACTTAATAATAATAATACTACTTAACTTGATTTTTTCCTAACTTACCAGAGTGATTGATTTCAGCCCTTTTAGAACTTCCATTAAAACCGACAATTAGTACTCGCTCTAACCATGCTTTACTTTTAAATTCAAATTTATCATTCAAGTTTCTAAAACGAAAAAAAAAGTTTTCATTAAAATTAATAAAAAAAATTTAATGCACCATTTTGTCCATGTGAACACACCAATCGAACACATACCTGGATATTAATTTATTATTTTTATATTCCAAACTCAGGTATGCAAATTTCCCTTCTCTGTATTCGAAAGATTGTTCATCATCTATGTAAAGCTTTCCCGATGCTTTACCCTGAAAAATATTTTCCTCATTAAAACAACCCCCCCCTTTTTTTTTTTTTTTTTTTTTTTATAAACTCAAACGAAATGATAAAATTTAACTCACTTGAGCATCTAATGCTACGACCAAAGTGTAAGGATCATCACGCATGAGGGATGATGCTCGTCTAATCCTTTCCTTTTTAGGTATGATCGATCCACCCCTAATAAAAACTGGTATCTAGGTGGTAAAAAAAAAAAAAACGTTTTTTTTAAAATATCAATTGTAACGTACTTAATTTAAATTTTTTTTGTACCTTTTCTAAATCAACGGGTACTTTGACGAATCCGTTTTGATCAAATTTTTCATACGTATCCGAATCGTACCAAACTTCATTCACTCCAGGAAAATACACGTTAACGGAAGTTGCTCCTTTATCAGTGACCGGATGCACCAACAAACTTTTTCCTAAAACGTTTAGAAAAAAAAAATTTGTTTACAAATCGTACAATTTTTAAGATTTACAAATGAAAATTTTAAAATATTTAAACCTAATAAATATTCATCTTCGATTCCGTATACTGCTTCTTCCTTTGGGAATTCCATCCAGAGTGGTCTCATGACCGACGATGCCGTATTTTCGTGTTCGTACATAAGAGTGTACCAAAAGGGTAGATAACTATAACGTTTTCGCAACGCTCCTCGAATGACGTCCGTTACAACTTGATCCATCGACCATGGTTCTCTTCTTTTTGTATCGATATGGGAATGAGCGCGAAAAAAGGGTTGAAATGCTCCCGCCTTTATTGGAAAAAAAAAAAAAAAAAAATTAACTAAAAATACCAAAAACAAACGGGTGCAAATAACTTACCTGAAACCATCGTGCAAATAATTCAGGTTCTGGATTACCGAAAAATCCTCCAACGTCTGCCCCGCACAAAACTAAACCGCTGATGGATAGTGATAAGCACATAGGTATGGTAGCTTTCAAGTGGTCCCATTCAGCCATGTTATCACCCGTCCAAATGCTGACATACCTTTGTGACCCAGCAAAACCTGCACGTGTGAGAATGAAAGGTCGCAATTTTCCTTCTGATCTTTTCAGTAATCCTTCATATGTTGACATCGTCTTTAAAAAATTACACGTTTGAAATTCTCCTTTTTAAAATTAAAAATGATAATTTAAAGAAAAAAAAAAATATGGCGTACATGTAAAAACCCATATATGTTGTGAATGTGTCGATGTTCCCATCCACCGTGGTGAATAACATCTTTGGGCATTGTTATTTCAGGTCCGTTAAATACCGAAGGTTCATTCATGTCATTCCAGATGTACGTGTCAAGAGTGGAACCTTTATAATTTTCCAATAAGTATCGATTTGAATAATATTCCCTTACTGCAGGATTTAAAAAGTCTAAATAACTGGATGATCCAGGCCAACACCAACCTGAAAAAAAAAATATAATTCATCATGGTGGACTATTAGAAATTACTTTTTTTACGGACATTTTTTTTTTTTTTTTTGTGAAATTTCTTACCCTCATAATCTTTTCCATCGGGATTTTTCACATAGTACCCATTTGCTTCAGCATCATTATGCAAAAAGTAACCGACATCTCTTTTGATATGAGGATCGACTATAACAACTAGTTTTCTTCCCTTATCAGATATATTTTTCGTCATTTCCAAAGGATTCGCAAATCTGACTGGATCCCACGTGAAATACCTGAAATATAACTTTAAGATTTATATCTAAAATAATAACATTAACGTGTAAGCAGATGAAAAATATCAATTTACTTCTTATTATCTGCATGTTCAATATCTAACCAAATGGCGTCCATTGGTAAATTATAATCATCAAACTTTTGAACAACGTTTCTGACATCTTCCTCATCATTGTAATTCCACCTGCTTTGATGATAAGCAAGCGAAAACATCTGCAAAATTAAAAATATTAATAAGACCCGCAAATAACAAAAATTTGAAAAAAAAAAAGAAAGAATTTTAAATAAAATTACCTGAGGTAGAGGTGATGTTCCCGTCAATGAGGCATATTGTTTTAGTACGTCATCTGGAGAAGGACCCATCAAAAGAAAAACATCTATGATTCCAGATTCAGACATAAAATGAGCATCAATTTCTGATTTCGAGGTAGAACCAGATACCAAATTTACAATAGATGATAAAACATTTTGATCTCCTTTACTCATAACATCTATCCATGTTTCTGCGGCATTTAACCAAAAAACTCCTGTTGTACTCTCTGGTCTGAAAAATTTATTAAATATATATTTTCACATAATACACATTTATTAATACAATCTAATTTTTTAATAAATTCAAATACCCATGGGCAAAAAGAAGAGGAACACCAGCATATAAGGCCATTTTACTATTGAGTTCATATTCGAATACATCTAAGTTATACAAACGATATGGATCACTTCCTCTGCAAATGCAAAATTAAAATTATTGATTATAATATTTATGCATAAAACGAATAATTAAAAAAATTCTTATTTTTATACTTGGATGACTTAAGTGCAAATGAATCGGCATGTTCAGGTAAACCATAAGCTACAACAGCTTGTGGAAAAGAAAAATCTAAAGCTACAGCTTCTGGGCCATTGGGCTTTGTATCATGAGCAGATTTAAAATTTTCTTCCCAAGCACCTGATTCCATTGAAAATTCAGGATCAACTTCGGAATTATTGTCTTGATTCTCTCCATTTTCATCTGGTTCCTGTGATTTACTGTTAAAAATAAAAAACAATTCTATAATTACAATAAAGTTCTAAAATATTTTTAAATGAGCTCAAATTAAAGCAAAATTTATTTGATTTACTAAATATTTAAAATATTAGAAGAACTGTATTAATAGTTTAATAACTTACGGAAGCGGTTTTTGTCTGTGGTGTTCGAATTTAAGTAATCCTCGAGCATTAGTACTGATTACTAGAACATTCTTAAAATATAAATCTAATTTAAACGGTTTTGCAAAAATATGAGCTTCATTGTTTCCTGACTGTACAATTACTTTATCTGGTGAATTGTGAACAATTTTCAATCTGAAATTTTAATAAGTTGTTTTAACATATTTATTTTTTTGTAAGACAATTACAATAATAAGAATTAAAAAATTGAAAAACTCACGGCTTAAGAACAGGCTCACTCACGAGTACAAATGGAACCTCGAATCTTGGTTTGATTGGATTTTGTTCTTTTATTTTGAGCCTAAATATATCACCATCAACTGCATATAAATATAAATCATATTTGAAATTGTATTTAGTATCAATCAGTTCAGATTTTAAAACTGATGATTCTACATTTGCAGATGATGTTAAAAATTCAAATGAAGATTCTCCAGGTATTTTATTTCTACATCTTTTACAAAAGCTACTTTGCTCACAACTTTTAAAATTGGTTCTATCTACTCCTAATGTTATCGAGATATATGTGACAATAAAAAATGTAAAAAAAATTTTTTTTCTAAAATAAAAATATAAAAATATTAATTGGTAAAACCCAATTTTAAATTTACATGTCAGCAGTTAAATTTTTTAAAAATAAGACATTTTTATTTAACATATATTAATTAATACTTTTAATGAAATTCTAAAGGAAAATTATTCGAATCTTAAATATATTCTTATCAAATAATGAGAAATACACTTGTAAAAAAGATTATTTTTTAAAATAGTCTTTTGTATTTGGATTTTTTTTTTGAGGACATTAAAAAAAACCAACCATAGTATAATATTTGTACAGCAAATCTTTGTATATGAAACAAATGTATTCAAACTTTGTATTATTAATAAATAAAATATTACAAAAATATTAAATAATTAATAAAATAATGATTTTTGAAAATAAATTCATATTTTTAAATAAAATTAACCGGCCAACAAGTATTGAAAACAATTAAAAATTTAGTAAAAATTTACAATTTTATAAATAAAAAAATAAATACCCCATTTTAAAGCAAAAAAAAAAAAAAAATTATTAATAATTGAATAATATTTTCTAAAATAAAGATAAAATCATGTCGTAAATTCAAAATTAATGAGCACAGCCAAAATTATACTTGTTCTAACTTCTAAAAAAAAAACCACAGCCTTTTTTTAATTTGTTGGCACTTAATACGATAATACGTTAAAAATGCTGTTCAAGTTTTTTTTTTTTATCTAATTCAAAACTTTTGACGCTGTTTTTTTTTCTCTTTTTTTTTTTTTTATTAAATTGCAGAGTTTTTAAAACCGATTAATGTATGAAATGTAAAAAAAAAAAAAACTTATGTATTGTGGTGAAACAAACGGAAAAGTTTTCGTTAAAAAGTTGCGGGATGAAATGCAGCTAAAATTTTTATTAATGTTAAACACACAGCGACCTAGTAAGTTCTTATATAATGTCTAATTTTAAAATTATTTTATTCAAATCTGCCAAAAAAAAAAAAAGATTTTCTAAAGCATTTTTATTAATATTATGTAATGGTTTTATTATTGTTATCATTACTATTATTATAATAAAATTCAATTTTTAAATAAGTAAAAAGACAAGGGTAAAAGACAAAAAAAACAAGATGGCCGAAAACCGCTCTGTTAGAGACATGCATAAAAAACCGTTATGAATAAATTTTAAAAAATCGTTATTTTTCTCTCTTGGCGTTTTGTAAAAAGAAAACTTATATAAAAATTTTACTTTTGGTAACAAATTTTCAATGTTTTATAAACATTTTAATAATATATATTAAATATTTTATGACTTACATAATATATAATGTAAGCCATAACATACATCCTCCCATATTTAATATTATTTATAAAATTACTATCATGAAGATTAAGTAGTATATATTTTCTATTACTCTTAAGTATATTTTTACATTTCATATGTCCTTTTTATTTCAAATGATAAGGTGATCTAATTTATGTAACATATCAGTGTAAAACTTATTCTACAATATCATTCATGTATGTATGTATGTATGTATTTATCATGTGCAAGTTGTAAAAAAAAAAAAAAAAATTTTTTTTAAATTCTAATAGTTTATGTTATAACCCATGATAAGAAAAACTTTTCTTACAATTTCTTTAAAATGCTTTTACATGAAAATAAAAAATAAAATTTGAATTAATAACAAAACATCTTCAAGCAAACTAGAATAAATCCTTCACATTTAAAATAATAATGATATGCCATGAAAATATTATTAATTAAAATAATATTATATTTCTACCAAAAAAAAAAAAGCATTTAATATCAAATTCTTATTGTTTTGAATGTTATTAAAGAAATACTTTTAATAAAAGAAAAAATTATTATTATTATGGATTCTTCTTCAGGTATACTATACAGTTTTTATACATAATTTTATTTTACCTTTATGAATTTTATTACAATTTCAATTTTTTTTTTACAACTTTTAATTCACTTTTTGCAAGCGTGAGAATGAATTTATTAATAATATTTATTAACATTTTAAACAAAATTTTAAAGAACAAAAATTCTTAAGAAATATTTTTTAAAACTAAAAAACATATTTTTAAAATAATTGGTCAATATTTTTCATTATAATAAAATCCATAAAGTGTAAATTTTGATCTACATCATTGTATTGTAGAATAATAATGATAATACTCATTCATTTATAAAAAAATATTTATTTATTTAGAAATTTTCTTACAAAATCCCCCTTTTTTTTAATCAAATTTAAATTCACATAGAGTAGGTGTGTGTGTGCGTGTGTGTGTGTTGTTAATAACAATACAAAAAATTCTCATGAAAGAAACACAAAAAAATTTTTTTTTTTTAAATCACACAAAAGGTTTTATTATTATTATTACTATTTTATATTTAAACAATTGAAATATATATATATATATACATATAATTTTATTTATTATTATTCGAATAATGATAAAAGTTTTATTTGAAAAAAAAAATAAATAAATAAGAAAGGTCAGGAAATGATGATTGTATTGAATTTCAATTCCATTAACAATAAGCCATTAAATTTTATTAAGTTTTAAATTTTTCATTTGTTTATTTATTTATTAAAATAATAATTGAAGGTTATTAAACTATTAAAAAAAAAAAATCTTAACAATAATATTATAGTAACACATAAAATTTTAATTTGTCTACAAAAATCGATATCATTTTTATTATTATTATTATTATTATTGACAAAATTTTTGTATAACAAGGTCGTCACGTGTTTAAGGTATTAGGTACGGAAACAGGATATTTTTTGACCTATTAACCTTGCAAAATTTTAAACATAAACAACTATATGAGTAAATAACCTTACCTTGAACCTTAATTGTTTTCCATTCTCTTTAACAATCAACGTAAAAAAAAAAAAAAAAAAAAAAAACA